ACTGTAATTTTAATTTTAATACGTATCAGAGTCAATGTCACGATCGTTCCATTTCAATCAATCAATGAAAATACTAGTAAAATTTTGTTACTTCTTTGTTGAGAATATATTCTCGTGTGATTTTCGACGAATATTTATTAAGCTGTCTCTGAGGAAACAATGATTCCATCATCAATTGTACGCGTCATGGTTTTTGTCTGGAATGAAATATTCGGTGGTAAGAGAGACTTATTGAATGCAGGCGAACAAGCGAACGAGGAGCAGTTGCGACATTGCGACTGTTCCTAGCTGTCTCGTGGAGCTCGAATGCCGAGCACGTGCCTTTGTTACGAGATAATACCACTTCCGAATTTATACCTAAACTCCGCTTTAGAGACTTGAGATTCGAGTCCCTAATTAACGGTCCCGAAGTCGACGAAGCGTTCGTCGAAATAAACAATGGTAAACATTGAAATTAGAAGAACGTCCCGTGGAGTGTCACGTAGAATAATGTTGCCAGAGGAATGCTATTGCACTCTATTTACATTCAACTGCAGATTCGTTCCAGTTTAGCTGGCCAAAAAAGATATCGAAAACTCGGTGTTTCTAATCTTAATTTTTTGAACGAATCTTTTCAGAATAAATGGAAAGGAAGAATTCAATGAGCGATCATTCGAAAATTAATACGATTCATCAAATAAATCCAAAGTACGTTGTACTGCAACATCGAAAAAAATTCTTTTGAAAAAAAACTAGGCGAATTTTTGTGAGAAAGAAATCCACTAGACGATCTTTCAGTTGGGAAGCACTTCTCGTCTGCAGTTCACTCGCGATTAAACGACATCGCGGCGACGTAATAACATTAAGTCGACGCGTGTCGTACTCGTATCAGGCGAGATTCATTTTCCGCGCCAGTATGGCGCGAAGAGCGTGAACTTCGATAAAAGCGAGTGAAACGAGCGTCACCGTGGCCGAAATGCAAATTTTAGACACGGAGGCGCCAGATGATGATGATAGAATATGCGAAGTATTATATATATATATATATATAAGACAATAATAGGGCGAGCTATCGCTACGGATGGACAGGTTTTGCACTCCTACTGTTTCGAACTGTGAGCCTAATAACGACTTTATGAATAACCAAGCGTGCTGCGACGCGCTAACAACGCGTCGTCCGTTCCGTTCGCATTAATTTTCTTCGTTCTGCCTTATCCAACCGGATTTCGTCAGTGTCTTGTTATCGCGAATTCAATCGTTGGATTATACCTCGGTGACAATGTCCTGGATCAGCCCCGACAATTTAATTAATCTTCATCGCGTGTAAAACACGCAGAATCTCATGCTCAAGTTACTGAAATCCGCGTTTCAGCCGGAATCGGCAAGAAACAAATCACGCGAGTATTTTGAATTTGTTGCAGAATTATTTGGTGGTATTTGTTACAGAACTAGATCTAGCAGAAAGACTTTCCCTCTCCATATATTTCGACAAACGTTTACGATGGATTCAAGTAGAAACATGATTGAACCTTCGAGTTGTAATATGGTATATTAAGGTATATTAGATATGCGTTAAATGTCAGTCATAACAAGTGGAAAGTTTCATTTCATGAAAGGATTAATTCGCGTTTAATTTCACGTTTGATTCTCGCTTCGTCGTAAGGACGAATTTAAAACGAAGTGAAGGCGGCGGAACACACACCAATGAAACACAGCCGGCACTTCACGCGCGCGTGAATTAATTCATGCAAACGACTAATTCGAGTGTCCGAAACAGATTGATCAGTCGAAAGATCGTTCGGGCATACCGAGCAAATTGGTTTGCTGATTTTCATCGGATATCCGATTTAACCAGTCTACCATGCGCGAACGACGCGAGCGAGCCAAAGTTTTCTGAAAATAATGAATACCCCCTCCCTTCACCCCATTGACATCCATCCAATGGCAACGAGCAATTAGTCGTGCTTCGAGTGAATCGAAAAATGACAAAAAAAAAAAAAAAAAAAAAAAGAAAGAAAGAAAAGAGGAGATTTGTTTTCATATTATCGCGTGGTGTTCCAGCACGACTCAATTCCGATTTTAATCGTATAAACGAGCACGAAGAAGACAAAAATAACATCAAACGACCGGGAAGTGAAAAGCGCGTTTATCGCGTGAAGTTTAGTACTCGAAATCA